TGCGCTGGAGAACTGCAGCTTCAGAGCTGCCTGTCCACAGCGTGCAGCGGCACAGCAGGAGCTGCCGTGCCGGCTGGGCTGGTTTCTCTCAGTGCACATGTGGTAGCAGAGACTAGCAGCACCGCTGCTAGGACATTTCAGGAACAAAAGCTGGTGCTCAGGTTTGTGGCTCCTCCTGGGGAAAGGAGGGCCCTCAGGTTGAACCCGGTGCAGGATACTGCCAGCAAACCACGAGCACCAGCCGCTTGCTGCCCACCCAGGGGGGCACCCCAGGCTGTGCAAACTCCAGCACTCACCGATCACAGTGGGCTCCAGGTCCACGAAGATGGCCCGTGGAACATGCTTCCCAGCCCCGGTCTCGCAGAAGAAGGTGGTGAAGGAGTCGTCCCCTCCACCAATGGTTTTGTCACTGGGCATCTGCCCGTCGGGCTGGATGCCGTGCTCCAGGCAGTACAGCTCCCAGCAGGTGTTGCCCATCTGGACGCCGGCCTGGCCGACGTGGACGGAGATGCACTCGCGCTGGGGAGGGGGAGGCAGGGTCAGATCCTGGCACAGCTCTGTTCTGCCCGCTCCAGGGAGGGTTCTGCCTGGTGCCAGTGCCACACAGCCACCCGCACAGGACCTGCTCCGGCCAGTGGCCCCAGGGAGCACATTTTCCTTTGGGTGACCTCCTGTGTGCCCCTGAGGGGCCCCACATGGCTGTCATTGCCCTCGGCCACGCACAGGCACTGTGCCAGGTTGGGAGCCAGCTCTGGCGTCCCTCCCGCCCAGCCCTTGCTGAAGGCCACCAGCGCCACGGACTCTGGCCGGGGCTGTCCTCCAGCAGTGCGGGGAGCAGAGCCTGGCCAAGCTCCCCTGCCCCAGCCGTCGTACCAGGCTCCCCAGCAGCCTCAGCCCCTTCCCCATGCCACAGCAGCCCAACAAGGTGCTGAGCTGATGTGGGTACATACTTAACCCATGAGGAGCAGCCAGCACAGGGGAACCCCCCTGCTTGCTGCTCTAGAGCCAGGTAAGCAATCAGCCTCCTGGGGCAAGAGGCCTTGGGGATGCAGGGGCAGTGGGTGGCAGCCAGGGGAGGGCTGGCGGTGAAGCCCAGCAGGCTCCGAGGCAGCACAAAGACTCCCTGGGCTACGCAGTCCCAACCCTGTGCTGCAAAACCCGTGTGGGCAGAAGTGCTGGGGAGCGGGCTTTGAGCTGGAGATGTGCCTCCTGCGCTCCCATCCTGCAGGTGCAGGCCTGCTCCACTAACCCCCACATCCCTCCTCCACTAGCCCCAGCATCCTTGGTCCCCTATCCCTGGCATCCCTCCTCTGCTACCACTAGCATCACCGCTCTGCTACTCCCGACACCCTTGGTCCCCTGTCCCTGGCATCCCTTCTCTACTACCCCTAGCATCCCCACTCTGCTAGCCCCGGCATCCCTGCTCCCCCGGGCAGGACACAACTCAGCCTGGGGGTGCCCAGGGCTCTTCACTCTGCATTCCCCAACTGTGCAGTGCTCTGACCTTGCTGGTAGCGCAGCCCTCCTCTTGTGCTGGGACCCCTAGTGCCTTATGCAACTGCTGGTAGCCTCCAGCCAGAGCCTGTGCACAGAGGCTTTGTCTGTGGTGCCAGTAGAGCAGACCAAGGACTGTTCTCTGGTTCTCAGTAATGACAAGCCACTTGCACCTAGTTAGGAAAACAGCTGTCTTATTGAAAGCTTATTTGTTCTTGGCTTGTACTAATGTGACCGTGTTTCCCTTCACCTTTCTAACAAGATTCAAGTTTGAGCCTACATTTAAGCAACTCTTTCTTGCTTAGTGTGACTGAGTTCTCAATTACCACAGATCAATACGGCCCAATTATGACAAATCCCTTGTCATAATAAATAAATAAATAATAAATAAAAGGAATAAAGAATAAATGGAGGAAAAAGTCCTTCGAAAACGTGAACCTGAACTCAAACTTTAAGACAAATGAGGGGAGGGGCCTTCTGCCGCCACGTCATTTGGGT